ATGCAGTTCGTTACTCCCACACAGACGTGTAGTGCTCTACAAGCTATAAATGATTCAGCAAGCATTTATACAAAAACAAAGGTGCCATTCATTTTTTTCATCCATTCCTTTTTTAAAAAAAATATTAAACTACATCATATGTAAGACACATGCTTCACGTAGCCCAAAACATGGTTCAGTAAAAGGCATGTAATTCTCCTGGCAGCAGAGCACTATGCAGTATGCTTCTGACAATAGTCTGGCATCTGGAAGCAATCCCTGAGTTTTCCTATTGGGGATGCATGAAAAGTGCTCTATTAGTAGTCAAGGAAAACGTTCATCATAGAGTGATAATAAAAGCTAAAGAAACAGAGAGTATGAGCACATTTGAAAGTGGTGTCTTAGCTTCTACAATAGGAGATTGAATGACAATCATGTTACAGCATTATAACGTAGTTATAATACAAACAGGTTCTCCTGTATTTTAAGGAAAATGTGTTTGCATAGAAATTACTATAATCAAGGAATTACAAACTAAAAGTCATATAATCTACCTTTATTTGATTGTGAATTAGCCTCAAACACATTGTATCTCTTTTACAAAGTATTTTACATAAAACACGATCTGGTCCCTGTAGGAAATTCATGTATTCCTATGTTAGTCCTTGGAGAATACCCTTCTATCATATATAAAACGCTTAAAGTTATTTTCATAGATAACTTGAGCTAAGCTCACAGCTCATTGATTGCAGGATTTTCTTCCAAGAACGTCATTTTTCTACATTTCCGAATGTGAATCCCACTTCCTTTGCTGAAATATCAGTGATTGATACACACTGTTTCATGTTTTTATGAAATTGTTATGAAAAGTACTGTTCATGACAAAAGCCAAACGCACAAGTTGAGGGTGAGTGGGAAGACCTTCAGAGGAAAAGCATATTCAGAAAGATTAATGTTTCAGAAAATAGGACTGATACTGGACATGCCAAAGACGCATTTTGCTAAGAAACACACAAGACTAAGATTTAGAAATGTGGGCTCATTATATATAATAAAGTTAAAACGGCACATTAAAAAGGCAATGAAACCGGAGAGCATTAATGAAGATGAGGCCCATCTTAATAACTCCTAAAGGACAAACAATGGACATTTTTTTTTGGCTCAACAGCTATTACAAAATTCCAAAAATAATAAAAGGTACTCCAGTAATTATGTATAATGACTGAATTAGCTAACAGTAAAATAAGAGGTGCGCAGATGAATGAACGACTGCCTATCAGAAGTGATACCATTAAGAAAAAAAAACGTGGGAGTTTGCTGCACGACCTCTCCTTGTTGTCACTCTTGTAGGACTAAACAGACATCGGTTTCATCTGTAGGAAGAGTTTAAAGTCTTGAATCTTTCAAGTCTTCTGTAAGGTAAGTCAAGGATGTTTATTAGTTCACTTCAGGAATGCACCGAACTGGAGCCATAAATCTGAACAAAAGACATGCTGGAGTTATTCCCTCATCCGGTGCTCTTAGGTGGTTGTTGTTTCTTCCAGTCTAATTAGAAGAGGCATCTGACAAATAAATGACAGTAATGGATGTGTAGTATTACATTTCACATGCACTGCTATCAGACCAACAAACCAAACAGCACCAATCCTCTTCCACCCACTTGTGTCTGCAAGCCCCTCAAATGATGGTTAGCAAAGCCACAAACCAGCAAACCAGACAGGGGAGAGTCGCCTGAAAATTTAACAAGTCTCTGTCTTACCCTGTTGCATTTTATAGGTATTTTGGAACAACACTCCTATGAAAGCACACAGCATCGCTTGCCAGACCGTTAAAGGAATATGAAAAAAATAGCAAAATGCATGTCTCCTTCATTTTGTGCAGGTCAGGCCTTTTCGTACAAATTATATTTACAAGAAATGTATCTAGAAGAATGCCATGTTACTGAATCACCCATGTGTGCAAAATGTACAGCTGAAGAAGAAACGTGATTTTCTGTAAGTACTGTACAGAACACCTTTGAGACTATAAATAATTAGCAACTTTTTCCAGTCTAATACTAATTTCCAAATCTCCGCATATGCTAATCATTTTTGACAGAATTTGCTCAGTCTAAATAGAATTAGTTTCACTCCTTAAGCTGTAATGAGCAATAAGTGAAAACAAGCAGATGGAACAACATGGTTTCACTTTCCTATTTTATGACTTGAAATATATTTTTAATATATTTCAGTCAGTAAGTGAGCCTACAATTATGAAAATTACTGTATGGATTCTGCAAATAAAATAAGGTGGGTTTAAGGATCTTGGCTAAGCCTTTTGTCTTGACAATATGATCATCTTTACTTAAGCAAGCACATTAAGATTCAATGTGTAGGCATAAAGAGTGCATGGTGTATGTCTCTCTTAATTAGATATTATTATTTGTTTAAAATTATTGAATTCATATTTTGTCAATGTTGTGAGTAAAACGACAGCTGCTCCCAGCTCTCTTTGCTCTTCAGGACTATAGCAGAAACTCTGCAAAACGGTAGGCTAAGCATGAGTATTGAAAGTAGTTCAGGTGGGGAGCTGCGTCAGCATGCGTAGGCTGCAAAGGAACAAGTAATAGGTTTATTCCATGCTGAAAAAAAGAAAAGAGAAAACACAACGTTTCGGCCGTGGAGCCTTCATGGCTTCACGGCCGAAACGTTGTTTTCTCTTTTCTTTTTTTCAGCATGGAATAAACCTATTACTTGTTCCTTATGAGTATTGAAATACAACTTCTCTCTAAGGATTAACAATATACAAGCCAGCAATAAATCCCGAAACACCTCATGGATTCTTTCTTCAAATGTAAGATTGTATGTGGTGATAACTGTAGTCCGTGTGGTGTTTCTAATGGACCAGGCGTTTGTGAACAATTGCAAAACCAACATCTGAGAATCACTTCAATGTTTCACAAGCAGGACCCTACCAAGAAATATTCTGTGCCTAATCCTGTATATGTATAACAAAAATACATGAAAAAAATTTGTGAAAATCAGACTGTATAGTCTTCTGCAGTTGAAGATGCAAAAGGAAAAGAAAAAGATCTGATATATTGTCTACCAACTGGATCACAATTTTCTGCATATTTCCATAAATGGCATTGTGGTCTGGATGAGTGTCTTGCTAACCATACCCACAATTATTTCTACTCTTTTGGTGAATGACATTTTTGTAATAAACTATGATTAAAATTAAATATATATATATATTTAAAGCACGTCTTCACAGCCCCAGAACACTGAGCTTATTATCTCCCAAGTAATGGTGACCCCTGGGGGATTCAGTTTATTCAGTGCACATGGCAAGTCACTACTAAATCACACTGAAAAAAAGAGAAAGGACACTTCATGAGGAAATCATTACAATTGCTCAGCAGTGGGTAAAAATAAGTTCCCTTTAGAAGCCCCCTTCTACGTCTTTATACACCCACCCACACAGGCCAGAAAATCTCCAAGGAGCAGATTGAGAAACTCAGCCCCCTTTCTGCTCAGCAGAAGCAGTTATATTTGATTACAACACATACTACCTCCAACGAAGCATTACTCACTCATTCACCTCCATGCTCCCACAGTGTTTATATAGACTGTGCTGCCCCGATGCTCTCTCACTCGCTTTTTAGCTGGTGGTTTTAGCACAGCAAGGAAGCTAGCCAAGAGATTGCTCAGCACTAACAGTAGACCCCTCCGAGCTGGGGCTCCGCTCTTGCAGAAAGCTCAAACATGCGCTGCTTGAAAGTGTTCCTCTGCGTTTTTCTTTGTTCTTCCTGTGTGCTGGCACAGGGATATGACAACGATGAAATTGAAGTGGACTATGGAGATGTGTATTACAACGAAATCCCGGACAACAAAGAAGAAGGTAAGAAACCGTAGACTAAAAAGTCCACCTTTTTCACACCATTTCCACTTCATCTGCATTGTTCATATTGAAGAGGTCTGGGGTGGGGTGGGGGGTGGGGAGTTGGGGGTTGTATGCTGTTTCAGAAATCAGATGCCTTAGTGTATATATTTTGAGTTTTAAATTGGGATAATGCATACAGTTATTGAAAAGAAACCCCTGATAAAGTCTATACAAATTGTGAAAAAGAAAAGAAAAAGGTAGCACAAGACCTTCAAATACATTGTACAAAAAGTACTTCAACGTTCAGGGTTTAATAAGATCAAATGTGATGCATGCAGTGACTTTATCAAGAGTTGGAACCAAACATCAAAAGCATTATACATCATCAGGGGGTTGCAAATTTGCCAAAATAAGACAGCCTAATAACTAGGGCACAGAAACTACTGGTTGAAAGTACTGTTGCAAACTGATTCTCATCTTTCTGTTCAGCTACTTCAGCTCCCTGCACGTCCAAAGACCTCACAAAATGGGACAAGCTCTTTTCCATGCTAGAGAACTCCCAAATGAAAGAAAACATGCTGCTTCAATACGTGAATGACATAATTACAGTGGAGCTGCAATCCATGCGTGCTGAAATGCTGCAGTTTGTGGGCACCTATGCCAGCACCTGCACCAATGCGATGGACAGTGTCAGTCGACGCATAGCTTCGCAAGTGGACCAGAAGTTAGCCCAAATCTCTGAAAGGACAAAGGATGCCAACAAAATGCATCAGTCCCAGCTAGAGCAGCTGTTATTGGCAAGCAGGAATCAAGCTAGCAAACTTAGCAAACTTGAGAGTACCTTTCAAAATGGAGCAGAATTTAAGGCTGTGCCCTCAGAGCCAAAAATACAGGATGTCCCTACGTCAGTGAAACTTGAAAAGACTATGAATTCCATTGCCCGGGATCTGCAGATAACCCGGGCACAGCTAGACTTTACCCAGAGGTGGACTAATCAGCACTTCCTGCCCTCAGGTATGTACACGTTTCGTTTATCGCTCACATCTGCGGGATATACCGTAGATGTGAGACTAACCTTAAATAAACAGGAGCCAGAAACTGAGCCCAGTCACTCTGGAAATAGAAACCTGGACATGGAAATGAGTCAGCAGCAGAACAGCCAACCTAAAGCAGCACAGATGCTAACATAGAAGAGTCTGGCAGCATGCCATAGGGTATGATGCAGGGTCTGACTCAGATGCTCAATCTGATGAGTTTTAATGGGATATTTCATGGGGGAGAATATTCATGAGCTCTTTTCATTTTGCAAGGGCTTCACTCCCTTGCAAGAGCACATCAAAATGCATTTCCATAATTAACTGGAACTCCATTTAAAAACACAAACCCTGAAGGTGTTCCTAGTAAGATCTTGCAATGAGATATAGACATATTTTCACATTTTCCTGTTACAGGGACAATTCAGAAAGGTATTGTATTTTTCATAAATGTTAACATTCATTTTAATCAAATTTGTTTTGCATTTCATAAGTTGATCTCATATTCTAAGTGTTTGCCTTTAGTACTGAAAGCAAAGGAAGAGAAACAGGAACATTCCACGTCATAGAGAATTTCCACGTCATAAATGACTTCATAAGTTCATAAGTTATCAGCTTATGTGGACAAAGTGCCTTTTTGTACAGGCAAAACTCTCGAAAGAGCCTTGACCCACAATCAAACATCGGACTCCATGATACTGAAAGCCATAAAACTTCAGACAAAATTATTTCTCCGTCTTGACTTCTGGCTCCTCTTTCTCCATGCAGTTTATCGTCAGTAACCCACGCCATGACTCAGACCAAGGCAGTAATCCCACACGGTACATTTTCCCCCTGAATATATGAGGAAACAGTCACAGCCAGCTGTTTTACATTTAGCTTCCTTTATCAAAGAAATGTGAACTAGCCTGCAGGTTGTGTGATGCTAGTTAATGGAGCCACGCAGTGCAGAAGGCCCAACCTTGACATGAACTGCATTATTATTGTTTCTGGGTTTTAGACTTTGTTACTTGAACTTTGCCATGCGATGATTGAATGCCTTTGCCAAACTGCTGACAGGCAAACAGTAAAATTTATGATTCATGCCACACTGAGAGAAACAGCGAAGCAGACAAGGTACTTCTCACCCATGGTTATTTTCAGACTCAAGGCAGGTCTCTTTGTAAACAAGCTATCGCATGAAACGAAGCAGACCTGCTTCCTGGACAAATTAGTTTATATAATTGGATTTGGGATGTTTTCAAATTCATTTTCTGGGCTCTATTCAACAGGAAACAAGTAATAGTGTTTTGATTTCTGCACATAAGTGCACTTGCACTGTGCAGTCCTAAAGTGTTATATTTTGACTTGGAATATATATAAAATAAACTTCCCAAGAGAATGAGAAGATAAATGATTGTGAGATTTCTATGTTTCAATGACAGATACAAGGACAACCTCTAACAACATTGCAGCTGAATTCCTAAGTTTCATCTGTGCATGTTTAATGGTCTACATCATATGATCATGAACATTTTGAAATGCAAATGTATGAGAAAAAGAAAAAAAATAGAAGAAAATTTTGAAAACTAAGAGACTTCAAATCCCAAAAATATAGCAGACTACAAAATTAATCTGTAACATGCAGTCTTGGTTGATCTTTGAAACCCCCATTAATAATGAAGGCAAGATGTTTCTGAGAAGAATACAGGCACTTCACTACACTAAAGGAACAGGCTTTCACAGCAAGACTATTGATATTTGCTTTTCACACCAGTCTTTAAAAAGAGGTTGAGAGTTCCTGACAAATATTGCTTTTTTTTCTGGTGTCTTGCAGGATGTGAAATGGCTCTGTTGTTTCCAATGCGCTCCAAAAAGATCTTCGCCAGCGTCAATCCTGAGGCTGCCATGACCCTGAGGTCCTTCACTGTCTGTTTTTGGGCCAAAGTCACAGAAGCCCTCAATAAAACTGTCTTATTCTCCTACGGGACAAAGAGAAACCCCTATGACATCCAGCTGTCCTTCAGCCAGACGTCAGCAGTGTTCACCGTCGGGGGAGAGGCCTCATCGGTGGAGACTCCAAACGTGGTGGAGAACGGGCAGTGGGGTCACTTCTGCGGCACCTGGAGCTCTGAAGAGGGGTCGGCCTCGTTGTGGGTCAACGGGGAGCTGGCAGTTACCTCCAAGGGGGTTGCAAAAGGCTATACAATCCCTGACGGAGGCGTCATGCAGCTTGGCCAAGAGAGAAATGGCTGCTGTGTTTCAGGCCTTAACGTCAACTTCGATGACAAACTGGCATTTTCCGGAAAGATGACGGGGATCAATCTGTGGGACCGCGTCTTACAAAGCGAGCAGATTCTCCAGCTGGCCAGAGAAAACGATTCATGCTCCATTAGAGGAAATGTAGTGGGCTGGGGCGTTACAGAAATTATACCGCACGGAGGAGCTCAGTATACATTCTAATACTTCACGTCTACCAAAAGACAACAAATGCCAAACCAAAGGTCTTTCTCAAAGCTTCAGAAATAGTCAAATAAACTTTTTCAATACGGAGTCCAAATCTCATAGTTAGCACACAGCATTTACCATATGTTCTTTTGCTTTCTAGATAATAAAACTTAGTCAGTGAAGACTTTATGTACAGTTTGGAAGCCAGTTTACATGCTTTATGTATGTAAAAAAAAGCTTTTTAGTCACACAGTTTAAGTGAAAGCTTTTTTTATTTATTTTTGTTTGGAAACAAATCTCACTTCTTTTGCAGAAGTATTGTATACGGTTTGCAACTTAAATTCCTAGACACATACTGTAGCCATTTTATTTTGCCTATCAAACTATTGTTTCGCATGTACATTTCAATGAATGGGATTTAATATGCAATTACCTTTTCTCATTTAGCCTTTATTTTTGATCATTCAGAAACATTTATTTTTTAAGAGAAAGAAGAATGTTTACAAAGTCTGTTAAGACTGTGGTTAAATTTCTATTATTTAGAAAACTTGTACATTTTTTCTTTTTTTTCTGCCATGAATGCATTTTGTATTCTTTTTCGAGATGAATAAACTACTTTAAAAAATAAAAATCCATCTTCAGTTTCATTTGGCATACCACTTAACCACAACAATGCAAAGATTAAGGTTTGCATGATGGAAAACTAAACAGAATGGCATCTCTATTCTAAGACTATATCTTCCTGTAATATTCGGTGACAGATACTCTGCACATTTGAGTCAGCTACTCATACAGCCCAAATCAAGTTAAAGCAGGATGATGAGTTCTAAGTAAGATCTAAAGTGCACCCAAAGGTATAGAATATTTCTTTCAATTATATGATCAAAATAAAGCTTCTGTTGAAAAGGACCTGGGGCCACAGTCAGTCCCAAAGTAGGGTTCTCATCGTTCGCTGGTTCCCATCTTAGAATGTATTGTATAAATGACGATGTGCTTTAAGATCTGTAGTATTGCATTTGAAGCTGCACTTACAACACAAAAGTGTTTTTTTTTATTTCTAGCTAAACTGATATTATTTAAGCCCTGCAGAATCCATTTTTTCCCAAAGGCCTTTCAGTCAACAGTATGTAACAATAAAGACTAAAATACCCCTCACTGCACCACTAACATCCATCAAATCAAGCTTTATAATTTTGTGGTGCCCAGACATTTTAATAACTCAAACAGCTGAATTAGCTTCCAACTGAAGCTTCCAACTGTGTTTAAAAGACATCTTAGTGACACACACAAAAACTGTCTCGGTTAGAGTCTAATACCATAATTGATGCTACAGTATGGCAAGAACGTGAGACATTTGCTTTTGCGAAACTTTATAGCCCACAGAGGTGTGTGCGCTAAGAGAAGAGCTGGAGGTTGTATTTCAGCTGAAATGAGCTGAGGTTTCTGTGGTGACCTGGAGCCAATCCATGAAGTCTGTGTGAAGAGCTCAGTCCCAGATAGCTCTTAATGTCTGGGTCCATACTGGATAAACAGTGGTGCCTCCTGAATACTGATGTTAACATGTCAAGAGAATAAAAGACCCCTTAGGCAGCTGAAGGTCAATATCAATCTCAACTGCGCCCATTAACTATTTTAAAAGATAATCTAGACTTCTGATTTGATCATACATACAGTAGCTAACATTACAGGGTTGTTTTTTTGCTTTCACAGGTTTGTATTAATCATACTGGGATTGTCAGCATAGCATATTGCGTCTGATCTTGGGGTTAGAACTTTAAAACAGCCCAAACACTCTTATAATCAAGTAGAACCAGTCGTTTTTCCATGTTGCACATGAGTCAATACCAATACGCTGGTGAATTTCATTCCATTTTCAATATATCAAAATAAATTAAAATCATGGTTTGTTTTAAATCAACTGTCTTTTCTTGGCTGAAAGAATTGCATGGGATCCAAATGCACTGAAAATTTAAGTATTTTTGGGCCTATGCGAAAACTGTTTCACATCTTAAGGTAAAGAAGATGTTGATTAAGAAGCAAATGATGCAGTAACAGTATAAATCATGTGATTAAGAAATGCACCTAGCACCTCATTATGATGCTCTCTGGGGATTTATCAACATATCAATATTACCATAACTTTTGGCTAACCTCGTCTTTCACTGACCTGAAAATATTTCATTTCCAACTGTGTTAAAAAGAATGAAATGTGCGGTCCAGCTGCATTCTCACTGTATCAGCATTATATGTCTTTAACAACTGAAAGCCCAGTATACGGGCCCTTCAAATTTAGCAGATTAAACGGTACCAATAAGTGTACCTGAATTTGGTAACGTTTGTAGAATGCTAAACTCTCAAAAAAAAAAACAAGACACATAATATGCATGTTCCAAATCAAATTATTTTGTCCTAACTGGTCACAGCTCATTGCCTTCCTCCTTCTCCACTTTAAGAATAAACTCACCTAGCTTAAATAAAATGAGAGCTTACTCTTAATTTAAATTCATGAAAGGGCCCCCTCATTCCTTGTTTTCTGACACATATGTTTGTGCCCATTGTCACGATTGTAATCCCTCCTCTTAAGGGCGCTCCGGCTCTTTCTTATTTTGCTGATTACTTTCACCTGCCCCCAATCTTGCCCCTCCTTATTTAAGCCCAGCGCTCCCGCTGTTCCTGTCTCAGCACTGGGAGATGGACGCCCGGAAGTCTGCCTACCAGCGGGTCCAGGAGAGACCCGAAGGCATAGGCTTCCTCATGGCGTCCTGACCATCTGAGTCCGGGGCTCAGAGCGCCTGGCCTTGTTACCCTGGTTTTTATTCACTGTTCCTGTTCCGGATCCCGTTCTGGTTTTTAACCTCGTCTTGTTTTGTCTCGGATGGATCACCTGGTTTTGGACCTTGGACTTCGCCCTGGATTCCCCCTTGGACTCTTTGGACTTATCTGCCTTGGTCACGGCCCCCGAGCACCAGTTCACTGTCGTCACGCCCCCCGTCTGCCAACCCCTCCTGATCCTCTACTTCTTCTTTTCCTGTTGTCCTTCTCCACTTACTTCCGGATTACACCGTCTGCATAGGGTCCTGAACTACGCTTCACGGGAGCCTGGACCAGCTCACATTACACCCATCCGGTCTTTATCCGGTATCGGATATTATATTATTCCTGGTGACCCTACAGACATCCCCAAGCCAATCCCAGCGGAAGCACTGGGTGCAAGGAGAGACTGTGCTCAACACACACAGAAGTGCTAATTAACCCAGCCTGCATGTCTTTACCAGGTGATGACGTACCCTAAAAGAACCCGGCTCTTGAATCTAACAAAGGTAGCCTTACCTTGGAGCACACTTTTCGTAATGGCTTCAGTGTGGTCGGCCAGCAGGTCTGCTTTTGCAATGGCGGCTAAAGAGAGGTAACTTGACATGTTTCGGCAGAGGTCCCGGCTGCCCCTCTGGAGAAACTTCACGGCGACTGGCACTGCTAGAGCCATGACTGGAGGGCGGTCATAATTCTGCAGGAAACAGATCGAGGAAGAGCCATACTGCAATCTGGGACACTTAATTAGTCCGGAATATTCAGAAGAAAGCAACAAAGTCTTACACCAATCGGAGATGTGTGATAGAAGAAAAAGATTAAAATCAGGTCTTTGAGAGAGGCGGAGCACTTCCAATTGGCGTGCTTTCCTGCTTGCACGGCTGGATTCTGCCCCTCCTAAACACCGCACTGAAACCTGTCATGAAATTGCACTGGACATAACACTGACATCTCCACCCTTTTGGAATTCAGTTTGTAATAAACATCGGTATTAAATACAGCTTACTCTCACTGAGTTCTTTATTCTGTTGATTACTTGATCACACTCATGGTATGAAACACTAAATCGTCTTCAGCCTTGTCCATCTTTTAATCTGGAGTCTGCTGATTCAAGCCTTCTAATTCTGCTAAATACCAGGCTCCACACAATACGCAACAGTCTTTTTATGCACATGTACAGCTCCACATCTATGGAACTCCGTCCAGGTCCTTTAACGACTCTGAGAGAGCCCATTTTTAAAATTCCTAACTTTAAGACCTAACATTTCACCGTAAATGTAAATCTCTTTCTTTTTACTACTGCTACGTGAGTTACGCCTGTGTTGCTGTAGTGCTCTTTGAGCTTTTTGAAAACTGCTCATAAATAAAATCATATGATTACAAGATCAATCGACAGGCTGGAAGCACTAAGGGGGGTTTCACAAGTGAATAAGTATATTATATGCATATAATATACTTATTATATAGTGAATAAGTATGTCATATCGCAACAAGTGAATTATTGTAGACGTGAAATGTAAATCAAATCAGATTCCTTCAAATAACTTTTTCCAAAGTTTCCAAAATGAGGGGTGTCTCTTTGTGGGGAACATAAACATAAATTGGTGATGAGGAATCTTCATAGTAACTAGTAATAGGTTTATTCCATGCTGAAAAGAGAAGAAAGGAAACACAATGTTTCGGCCGTGGAGGTACATTTCACACCTCTCTCACCTATCCTGACCTCACACACTCTTTCTGTCCCCTGCTCCCCCCTTCGCTCCTCCTGTGTCTTTCTCACACCTGTGAAAGGCTCCACGGCCGAAACGTTGTGTTTTCTTTCTTCTCTTTTCAGCATGGAATAAACCTATTACTTGTTCCTTTGCAGCCTACGCATGCTGATGCAGCTCCCCACCTGAACTACTTAATAGTAACTACACCACTTACAGTTTTCATTCTCAAAGTTTAAGAATGTTTCTTTTCCTTAAGTCTCTATTTTATTGACAGGGTGAACAACACAATGCTTAAAAACATGATAAATTATATCAGTCCCTAATGATCTGCACTTTTTAGGCAAGTACAGTATATTCTGACAGGGAAGATCACTGAATAATATAATGCTATCAAAATGATATTTATGCTAAAAACAATTCTGCTAGATAGATAGTTTATGACAAAACGTGAATGAACAAATGACAGAAAGTGAAAATAAAAATAAAACCTACATAACTAAAGAAACCCAAAATGGTTCTGAACAAATAAATAAGCAAGTACACCAAAGGACATTCAGGAACAACATGGATAAAGCATCAATTCATTTCTCAAATTCAGAAAATGTCCCAATCAAGGATTTAGCGCCCTCAAAGGACACGCAGGAGAAATCCCAAATTTACTTCTTTCTCAAAATAAAGAAAAAAGTTATTTTTAAAAAATAAACGAATTCAAGTTGGTTCTGCCTTGACATACAACAAACCTACTGCAAGACAGAACAAAGGAGTTTTAAAACAAATAAGGTTGAAAATATAACCTCTATAAACAGTATTTTCCTGATATCTAGTGTTCTAATTGTATACAAAAATATTTGTGCAGTTTAATACACTGTACTCAGATTCACGATACTAACATATGCCACTTTGACGTTATGCCCATTTCTTCCATAAGGGGGGGCTGCAGACAAAACTATAAAACAAAGTGCATGTTAAAGGCAGAACATAACCTTGCTAAACCATCATCTTCAAAGTAATAATAAAAAAGTCACTTCAAGTCATTTCATTTCTTAGATCAAAGGCCTCTTAACAAACAGTATGGAAGAACTGAGCCATTTAACTAAACTTTCCAGACAATATCATGTTCTAATTAAGTCAGTTTTCTTGATACCCAGCGTGCTAATGCTCTTCGTCCTCCAGCTAACTTTTTCTACAGGGCAGAAGCACACTTCAGCCAAAAAAAGCGATATGAAGGCTGTGTGTGTGTGCTTAGTGTTTGGTTTTGAGAAAAGAACATGGCAGAAATACTTAAAGGACATAGACCTGGAGTTGAAAATTAAAAGAAAACGATGAAGTTTGTTTTCAGATCTTTTACTGAAAACTGCTGCCCTATAAAGAGAGAAAAATTAAGGAATTAAGGTGGTTAGAATCTTCTTGCCCTTTCTATGAAAGGAAAGAAAACACATTGTGATCATATTTAAGCTTCACTCAAAATATGAATTTACTTAATTATCCACGAAACTCGGAGCAGGAGGTTTCTTTTTATTGCACAAAGGGTTGTGAGAGTCTAGAACTAGTAACCCGGCCATGTTGTTGAAGCTGAAGCTCTGTCTTCATCAAGAAACAGCTGAGTGAGATCTGTGGACCCATTAACTAAAGCAGACCCTGTGAAAGATTAGAATTTTTACAGGCACAGTAGTTTCATTTAAATAGGTTAAAAATAAAAACTAAACTCAGTGGGGCCAGCAGAAAGACAGGGTTTACAGCTTCCCACTTCAGGAATACCTAGAGGCAAAAAAAAAGTTCTCTGATCTTATAATATTTCATGCAGGCAAAACAGCCTGAGCAAATGTATTCATGCAGTGGTACTTTAGAGTCTAAACATCAGCAGGGGGTAGATTAATACTTAAAGGTGCAGCATTCCCTACTTTAAGTTAAGTAAAACGAACAAATAAGACAGAGGCTCCTATTCAATCATGCTTTTATGTAGTCTGATAGAAATGTCATCTTCCCTAAACCTGGGTTTTAAAAATAATCCTAGATTCTCCTGCGTTCATTGGCATAATGCATGCTACTTTTCCAAGTGGTCACTACACGTGTGTAAATAGGTAACACTAACAATGCTAATAGTGCTAACAAACCGTTTAAAAAATAAAGGGTATTAATATACAGTATGATTAAGAACAGTTTTGTGTCAAAATGACACTTATGTGCTGTATGGTCTGAAGACATTCAATACATAAAAATGTATAAATTTCTAAAAAAAACATTATTACCATGATATACTATGCTGAAAGGAAAAATAAAGAGACACAATGTTTCCTCATGCTGATGCAGATACCTACTTGAACTTTTTCATGAAATACTATAAACCATAAAACATAAAACCAGTAAATTTTTCTCTTCTAGAACGATGTTTAGGATACTGCAGTGAGGATCATTAACACTTGACCTGTTAGTGTTACTGTATTCCTGCTCTCTGCCCAGGAAGCTGATTTAAATCACCCACTCTCTGACCTGCAAGACGCAGCTCATGATGTCAGAGGCTATTTTAGCGTGAGGTGTATCTTCATCCTTCCCCTCTGGTTTCAGGTTGTACTCCAGGCATGATTCCCACAGCGACACCAGAGCTTTTCCATGCTTCTCTATGGAGTGGGTCTCCCGGATGGCCGTTGTAATTCGAGTGATGCAGATCTCCACCACAGCCTGGTCGTTGTCATTTGTCAGGTAGTCCTGCAACGATGATGTGAAATATGATAAGACCAGTGGTAAATTTAGCCTGGTTGACGCTGTGAGGCAATATCACTGCCCCTTAAGACACATCTTGTTTTTGCTTTAAGCCAGTTTACATTAGCACTTCAAAAGAGTTTCCTGTGACTAAATGCCAGATTCAACCTTCAGATTCTAAATGCAGATTGGATGGTCCTTCACACAGTCCTGAAGCTGCTCATACTGTATATAGTATCACTAATATAATATTGAATGACACATAATACTGAAGCCTTCATTTGCTTGTTAGGATCCTAAAATGATTTAGTAGAATTCAGCCATTATCTAACAAAATGTGATAACCAGGGAGATTTCAAACAATTTATAGATCTAAATTTGTGTCTGCTTGTTCGGGGGCTTCAGTCATTTTCATGTAATGAGAGGATGAAACCACATAGGAGCCTTTGACCCTGAGGAGACCATCAGCTCAGTGCTCCAGCAAACGTTAGAGACAGAAAGCAAGAAGCTCCTGGTTAATGTCCTTCTAGTTATCTGCACATACTGGCACATTGTTTGATTTTGGGTGCATGTACAGGGTGCATGTACAGTATATGTTTTCTAAAAAGCTGTATTATGAGTAATTTGTTGCTTCTGCACCGCGACACACAAAGGTACACTGTCTTTTGAGAAAGAGCATGTCTGTTTCACCTCCAAAATGAAAGAAATATTTATAAACTCTGTAAAACTGTCCTCCATAACATGAATATTTGTTAAACCCTTTGTGCATCATAACATGTAAGACAATTATAGTATATTATATACAGTATAGATTTTATATAGATGTATATGAACCCTTTTAAACCATTTTCTCAAAGGAACAGACCTCTCAGTATCTTTCAGTTTAGATCGTTTCTGAAGGCTTATCCTCACCCACCTATCGAATGGCACAAACCACTTCTGACATGTGTCTGAACTCCTTTGAACTGACTTCAGCTGGCTAAGATTATTTCTGCTCACATGGCCAGTTTCCCACATGGATCCTGATGATTCTCTGGGAAACTATTAAAAAGTAAAGCCTTCCTGCAGATCAAGCTGGCAAACAGCTTCAATGTCAGCTCCATCATGCTTTTGTATAACTGATAAAACAACTTTGGTTCAGCCAGTGAATGATCACTTTTCGAACTATGAAACAGTTCTTAATGAGCAATTCATTCTTGCTGTGTGAAAGTAAAAACCACACAGCATGAATACTTCATACACTGTATCAAAATACAGAATACACAACAGTATGTGTAAATACTGCATTTAATACACAAGCCTTTTCTGCAATTGAGACATGGTTATTTTGCAGTGCACTTTATTATTTTGTGATATTAAGTAAAATGGTGTGAAGCTAACAAAGACCTAAAGAAAGAATGCATGTTATTGTAAAGCACATTTCTGGTATTACTTGTGTGAAAACTATAGTCAGATATCAATTAAGCATTTATAACCTAGGAAAGGAGATGTCTCCTCAGTAAAACAGCAAATACAAAATTAACAGATAAGATCATAAACTAAAGGTCCCCATAAGTCAAGGTATGAGCCCTTGGGTGGAACATTGTTATGTATTGTTATGGCAGACAATACCACCACTTAATGAAAGCAGTAGAAATAATTCTAATTGTTTGCTTGAATTGATTTAGTCATTTTCATTCTCAAGGGTCCTGAATGAATTCCCCCTTAGAAGGGTCCCACTTTACTGACCACTGAAGTGCAGCACCTGTTGTATCTGCCAATAGGTTGGGTAGCCATTCTGTCCCCACTGGCTCGCTACATACAATAAGTGAGAATTTACTTCACCAATTGAAATAAGGCAGACCAACCAATTAGTTACATAATTAATTACTGTTAGTTTCAGCAAGTTCAATAAGGATACTCAGGTCAAAAGCCCTATTTCTATTATGAATTAATAAACCAGGTATGTATCCAGGAGTTGAGAAACCTACAAAAACTTGTGAACTAAAGAACCTAAGTGCATGATAAATAAATGTCACATGAAAGCTTTGTATGCAAAAACAATTTAAAATGTAACAATTGTGTATTATGTGACTAAATGAGGTTTACACCACCCACCAACAACAAGACCCTGATGTTCCTGGTAGGAAGTTTGCTAATAATTATTAAATAATTAATTAATTGCTTACACTTCTATTGCACTTTTCTGGCCACTCCACTCAAAGCGCTTTACAGGTAATGGGGATCCCCTCCACCACCACCAGTGTGCAGCATCCACCTGGATGATGCGACGGCAGCCATAGTGCGCCAGAATAATGTACCCCATAATGTACCCCAGATAGATTTTGATTATAATCTGTGACATTGATGCCAATCCCCATTAGTAAAGCCCAAGTCATTATCTTCCTCAATAGTTGCTTGTTTAGGTGCACAAGGTAGGTCTTACTCTGAGCCCAGCTTCACTGGAAAACTCTCCTGTCACTGTTGCTGTACAAGAATGTGCACTGAGCAGATAATTAGATAATACCAAAAAGGAGATGCCTCCTCAGTATGCCCAAAAATGTACACAGTAAATTACATGGTACTTACTGGGGAGCAAGATATAGCTTTGATTTCCTCAAGAGCTTCTGACAAGCAGCCTTCAATCTCAGCGTCTTCCAGAGAGAACAGATCTCCAGCCCGAGACAGGTCTCTATGCCCAAGAACAAGACTGAAAAGATGATGCATGACCATTGTTCTCGTGACTCATCAGACACCCCGCATTGACAGTGGCTCCTCATGACATCGTCCATCGGAGTTGACACCAAAGACTCACATCGCCTGGCCAGCTGCGTTCTCCTTAAGATGTTGGGTGTAACTCAGAATGTATCACCTCCCCAGCACTGAACCTGAAAAATGAGAAAGGAAGCTAACATTTTAAACTGAAAAGCGTTTTTTTTTCCCCCAAAGATTTTAATACATTAATTACAACCAGAAGTATAGTTCATACATCGCTATGACAAATTCTTGTAAAGGTTAATTTTATTGCTTATTTATTAAAAGCAGTGAGGTGAAAAATGGTAGGATTTGTTTCAAAAGAGCAACGAGAGCTTTGTGCTTTTTTTAGTTTGCTTTGTCACAGGTACATTAAGCAGCCTGAATTGCTGGCATTTATAAAGGGTTGCATTGAAAAACCAAACAAGTAAAAGAGCCCCAAACCTACACAAGTCCCTCGTACAATGACTTCTTTAAAGTGGATTTAAAACTATCAAGGTCTTCATTAAGTGTCAAATTACAATGTTCCATTATAAAGGTAATGTTTTTGCACGGTTTTATGGTACTGTACGTTTTTTTGGATACTTCCCTGACTCATATGAAACAAACTCTCACTTACGTGATTCTAACAATACACTTCTGTCCTGTTTCTCAGTACTGGGTAACTCAAACTCTGTTAATTAGTGATGTTTTAAAACGGTATGATGTTATACGTAATAGATTAAAAACTCCCAGTGGGCAAGGAAAATGGGAAGTAGCCATTGTCATTTTATCAAGAGTGACAGAGGTTCAAAACTTGTGGATTTGCCATTTTATCCTTTGGTGGATACATTCTAATTTAACAGGTAGGTGTTGTAAAAAGTCGGGAAATTCTTCAAAGCACAATCTGTGCAATTAAAGCAATGAACTACAGAACTCAGTCCTGTTGTAGCACTGTTTCTACAAAACGTCAATCTGATGACAGTCTTCTACAAATGAGCTGCCCTGCCATATCAAGATAAACACCCTTGGCACAGGGGTAGGAAGTGCACAACATACAATGAAGCATAACCTAACAGCAATATTGTAGCTCAACCTTAAGCTAAAAATGTGGAGAAGAGGCTCACACAATGGGCTGACATGAATACTGGAGGGAGTTAGAAAGCTGGATAATGACATCACATTTCCAGGCCACTGCCCAACATGCCAGCGGACATGCCATTTAAATTTGGTGCATGCGGCTGAAAATGTTGACAAATGTAGTGCAACAACAGTCACCTTAATGTGAGAGATGCACACTGAATGGCTCTTCAGTCCAGCCCCATAGGAAGCTTTCATGAAAAGTCCTCTCAGCAGAGTATGTGAGCTGGATATGGAGAATCTGTCCCCTTCCTGTGTGAGTAGGGCAGGCTGATGAAATCTTTGTTCTTTGAAATGCTTGATGCTGTTTTTTTTTTCAGCTCTGTTGCATTTGTGGTATGAGCAGAATACCTAAAGTATTCCTAAATAAGTATCCAAATACACACAGTACCCACAAGAAAAAGGGATCTACCAATTTATAATAAACAAAAAAGAAGCCCAAGATAAAACAAGGGCTGTTGAGGATACCTATATAAAATGCAAACAAGAGAACCCCCAGAAAAGCTTTCCATTCACTGATTAGAAGATTTCAGCACAAAGCAGAGTGGGACAAAATCCAACTAAAACAACTAATTAATCTCAGAAATAATCTGGATTGTATTCACTGACTCATTACAGAAAAAAAAAAACACTAAAATGTGGGATTCTGCCAGAAATGAAAATATGGCGTATTTCCTGTCGGATTGCATGACCAGCACAGGACTCTCTGAATCACGTCCCACTCTGCCACCCTGTGAGAAACTGCCTGCTGTGCTCTAGCAGGGCTGCTGGGAAGGCCTGTCCCGCCATTTCAAAATATTGGTAATTAAGTTGGCTGCTTTGAGCTTACAGCTGCCCTCATGCTTGCATTTAACCCAATGAGTTACTAAGGGAAAAGGCACTGACACACTGACATGAAATAGTCCTCTCATTCTGCACCAGCAGAGCTGGCGGTAGGTGATGTTTCCTGTTTACTCTTGGGTCACAGGCACCTTTGGCCTTTGTTTCTTGGCTGTCGGATTGGAATGTGGTCTTGTGGGGTCTGTTTAAACCCAGGGCTCTGTTTAAACATGTACTTGTTTTCATCCGGCTCAACCCTACTGTCCATCCCTCATACCTGCAGGTTACCGTCTTTCAAATGGCCTTTTTCCTAGTCCAGCATTCCACCATCGATACCCCACCCCAGCCTCTTTTGAGTGAAAAAGAAAACAAATGCTGATAGGAATAAGATCCAGAATATGTTAATAATTGGGCAGTGCATAGTAATGCTGTTATTACTGATGAAACTATTGTATTACAAATAAACGTCTATTTTCTCCTATGACCTGTTTGGTACTAATGCCTGCAGTTCACTCTGTGACACCCTCTTAAAAAAATCCACTTTGTTCATCACATATCTTTCAAGACATATCACGATTGTTAAAGATGAAATAGTCCATTTCCTTTCTGAAAGCAGAACCATTCTCCCTAACATCTAAAAGCCTTTACCATTAGTAAGGTGGCTGCTTTTGCTGGGAGTACTGTTTGTATTTTTCTGCTTAAATTAAAAATGAATCTAAATATTTTTCTACCCCCAGTTTCTCCTGCAAATATGGCTTTAATAATTGAAAGCAGTTTGTAGAGACCTCATACTACTCATGGGATGATGTTTTTCAAACCTGACAGTCGAAATGTATTATGGGGAAAGAGCAGATTCTAAATCTTAGAAGATTTGCATTGTTTCCACTTGAACGTTATGGTTAAACTTACACTATTGCTCTCCTCATTTGAGTCAGTTTGAAACGTGATGGACAAATCAATTTAAATGTCTCTGAAAAGCCAGGAAATGTGCACATTAAATGAGGCAGAGGGCACCACAGGAGCAAAGATGTCGTGCAAACAATGCTGGCTAAAGCAGGGCTGGAGACAGGTCACACTGAGATGGATTACCAAAGCACTTGTCAAGCTGTCAAGACACAAGTCTGAGAGGCACAGTCCACATGTATCATTAAAAGTAATGCTTACCACATTCCTGAAACATTCTCTGCCATAGAAACTGCTGGAATTTAAATACAATAGCAAAGTACTGTAAAAAATGATAAACCCTGCTGCAGTGATTATAGGGTATTAAACTATTATGTTATAGCAAGTACAAAAGCATATTTGGGCTTTAAGTAAGAACTCTGAGAGAGTAAATACTTTTTTTTTCAATAGCAACTAAAACGAAAGGGTTTATTTCCAGAGCAGACGTTTCTATATGAAACTCTGGTTACACAACGTACACCATTTTCTTAAAGTAATTATAGAAGTATGATGATACTTATCAAGCTAGAGACACCGCCATCTGAAGAAAACAAAAAAGAAATACAATACAAATATCACATTTTTCATCTGAAAATGTTTTGGTGTTTCTGGGCTCAGTTTCAAGGAAGAAAGAGCACATTTTGCATTGGAGCAAAATACTTTGAAGGCTTTCTTTTCAGTTGTTTAAAATTGTGAGGTAAAAACAAAACAGGTGAGAACACTGGCAGATAAAATACAAAGCCCAGGACAGTGGACTGAAGCCCAAAGCAAGACTAAATCAGCGACTGTCACAACACCAAGAAGAGAGTGCAAGGAGCTCTGGGTGTCCTGGGCAGTAAATGACAACAGCTGAGCCAGAGTAGGTGACCTGGGCTGTGGTCAGCAGAGCTGTTTTTCAAAAAATAGACAAGAGCAGCTTTGTGCAAAAAAAAAAAATCAAAACTACCACCGCCAATAGAACTGCGGCTTATAAAGAATACTTGGAAAAAGAACAATACATTTTCAAAGTGCCAAAAAAAACCATCTGTCGAAACGTTTGATAACAACAGGTCTCTTCAGTCCTTGCTTCAGTTCTCAGGGGAAGCTGTTTCTTGCACGACCAGGCAGTCAGCATAAAGCACTGGTTTCCTGCGCTCTGCAGCAGTAACAGCAAAGCGACAGGTTGAAACGTTCCTGGGAGGTAGGACAATGAGGACCCCCCCCCCAGTTAAAAATGTAACCTGCTAGGGAACGTAGCAAAAACACCATCTTTCACGTAAATCTATTATTTTCCATAGAATGCTTTTCATAAAGGGTGTTTAATTTCACCTCTGTGTGAATTTAAAATGACACCCTACCATTTATTATTTCAATCCACCTATTTATCCATCAAAATGGCTCCCAGACATGCACAAGTATTGCATATGGAAAGAGTTTTCTAAATTGCATACTACATTAACTCACTCATCATCCGTGAACAGGACATACAAATCAAGAGGAAAAGACAGGAAGGTGGACAATTAAGAGGCAAGGAAAACAAGACTTCTGCTGCAGTAAAGAGAATAAGCCTGTCTGAGCTGTCCAAGAGCATAAATCTGACATCAGCAGCAAAACTGGGCTTGAGATTTTTGTTCTGAATGGGGATGACCAACATGTAATAAATGGGAAAACTATGCAGATGGAATTGGAGCCTGTTAACAGTACTGTACGATCCAGCAATCATCAGTGTGTGCTAGACTTATATAGGGAAGAAAGGCAGACAAATGTTTTGGGCATGTGATTGGCCTGAAGAAGCTGGAGCTGGACTGGAAGTTCACGAAAAATCTGTGTCTCCTAGTCTACCCCACCACTCACCATCCAAGAGCTGAGAAACAAGCAGCACCAGGGTTTCAGGATGGCACTGGCTCATTAAAGGGAAGACTGGCTTACTGGGATAAACCCAGGTTCGATAAGGTACAACCCAGACCTTATGCAATAAGACAGGAGGCTGAAGTAGACTAGGACAGCTAGGAGGAAGCAGAGTGTCTATACAAGGTGAGTAGCAGTACATGAACAACTCCCATTGTCCCTGTGGCCAAGAAGGATGGAGCAGTTCAGGGTGATTTCAATGTCACCGTTAATCCAATTCTATAAACAATGCGGTATCAACAGCCAGGGTTCGAACTCATGGTTGCTGCAGGTACAGCCTTTGCAGCGAGCCATGAACCAATTCTCACAGGGGTCCCAGGCACTCAGTGCTACTCAGAGGCCAACAATGTCAGTGGTCCCAGGGAGGAGATTTGAACAGCAGTTTTTCCTTCCAGGAAGTCAGTCTCCTTCAATTCGAGCTCTGAGATTGCTCCTTGAGGTCCACAGTTAGAAAATATGCCTCATCGTGCTTCAGCCCAATACTGTACTGGCCCTAGACTCTTGCCTCTATTGCCAAAGAGGAAGGAAATGTTTGACGAGCAAGTGGACTGTTCTGCAGTTACTAAGATCATCAAGTTGAGAACTCGCAGCGAGTTGCGGGGTGCTTCTGTGTACTCCTCCTTCACCTGATAAAACAGGATGCTGTGTTTCAATCAGAAAGGAGATATATTGCAGAAACCAACACAAATAATATATCGCAAAGTACTGCAGAGGGTGGTGAAGTCAGCGCAGCTCATTAGCGGCTGTGAGCTACCAAACGTCCAGGAGATCTACTTAGCTAGGTGTCTGAAGAAGGCCAGGTCCATTCTCAAGGACCCCAGTCATCCCAGTCACAAACTATTTTCCCTCCTACTGTATGGTAAACGGTACCGAAGCATTCGGTCCAAGTCCAACAGATTACGGAACAGCTTCTACCTCCAGGCAGTAAGACTGCTAAATAGCCAAGCTGCAGCTCCTTCAGCAAATCACCCATAATCAACCCCCCCCACCCGGAGCTCACAGAAAAGACATTGCCAGCAACTACTGCTGCACGCTGTACTGTTGTGCATTTGATAAATAAACTTTGATTGATTGATTGAAATAATACACAAAATACCAGTAGCTGTTATGGAGAAGTATTATCCACAGTGCACTTGCAATCTACCACAGAAGAGATAGAATATGTGAGCTGGACTGAGTTTCTGTATAGATGTTTAATGTTTAAAAAAAAACAAAAAACCTCAAACAAAACAAGTATTTTTTGAAGAAGGAAATGTTACTTATTCGAACTAGAGCTTCTTATTATCTGAACCTCTATGTGCTACTAACAGACTGCGTTCATTACATGAATGGGACCTGCTGGACCCCTGGGTCTTTATGAGACAGGTGGCTAACCGCACTCCTGTTCAGGGTTTATATGTGATTGTGTCTTAACGAATAAGCACAGAACATTTCTGAGACTGCCCTCTGTAAAACAGCAGACTGAAACAACTGCTCTAAACTGTCAGCTGGGCAGGGAAATACTGCAGCCTAAATCTACACTTCTTAGCCTTTGCTAGTATATTGTACAAACAGTAAACGGTTCTCCAACAGAGTTAGAACTGTTACAAGGACACTGCTTGTAACAGTTGCAATCCTTAATTAAATCAAAACCTAAGAGATAATTTTATATGTTATGACTTTAAATAAGAATTACATTACAAATGAAATAAGATTTTCGGATACTAGGATCAGGTAGAAATGAAAGCATATTTTAACCATTTTAAGCAGATTTTAGCATATTTGGTGACTGAAACACACGACTGAAAGTGCATGATGTTGTTCATGGTACAGTAAGTGCAGCTTTTGCTTCCCCACATTCCAAAGGCAATTAACATAGCCCACCACGCAGTTTATATTGTACCTCCCTGCATGCCCCTGGAGAACCTCTGGGTTACTCAACTCCTCCAGCCTCAGCTGTGATATTCCATGCTTCCTGAGTCTCCGAACATTTACACACCTCCTACCTGTACATGGACAGTGCTGTGAAAACACATGGAATAAAGCACCGCAGCCATGAACTAGTTACTGTTCATCGCAGCGCTCTGGCTCAAAAATCTGTGGTATGTAAGCTTTAAAAAAACGTCAGCCAAGGCAGCAAGTTTAAGGCAGAATCAGGTGACCAGGCAGGACCACAATCTAGCAGCCTAAAACCTGAATGAACCTCTGTGAAGCCTGTAACAAAAACATTTAAAAGGCTTAGTCATGTGTAGCACTAGGTTAATATGAAGACTCCCTGTTCTTTAGGCCTCTCCTCACTTCATGAATGAGGACTGAGATGAGGAAAACAGTGGCCTTTTGTGTCACTCATAAGCTATCGGTTCCCTGCTAGCCTGAACTTCTCATTTGCAATTTTAAGTGCATTTCATGATATGCAGCAGAAGGGCATAATCCGCATTAAGACAAAAGCAGAGTTTCTAATGCGGATGATTACAGATCCACTTATCTAAAATTTCTTAATTTAACCACCTTAATATATTTAAACATTTATATAGCATAAGTGTACAGTATGTATAGAAGGAAACAAATCTTAAAAGTGGCTAACATTTGAGAGTTCTCTTTTGTGAATACCATTTAATAACATTACATTATTGTGGTCATGTTGTAAACATTTATATTTCTACTGTAAAAGAGTGCCTGCAAACAAATACTAATAAAACAATTGTTATATTCTGTAGTGTGTGAACAAACATTTAAATTGTGAGTTCAGGCAGGTCTGGTTCCTGAAAACTAAACAGCAAAAATTAACCAAGTGTGTCCTAATATTTCCTAAGTTTTACTCATGCCTAAACTGTATAAAAATAGGTAACTGATTATAACATGCACTATTATTATAAAATAGTTATTACTAAATAGGTCAAACCTATTGTTATTGGGTATGGAGACAAACCATGTATGCATAAATCTCATCAATATTAATGAAGCAACACTGTTCTGCAGTGTAAGACTGGAAACTGTAGAATTTCAATCACAATTTTTGCTTAATGCAAACTTTTTTGACTACATAAAATACAAATTGCTCATTTGTAGATCCTAAAATTTAACAAATATTCCAGTGAAGATTTTTTTTACATTCAAAACATCAGGCAAGGATTTTTAAGACTGCATATTACTGATAATTGTAGAACAGCCTTATACTCTTCCCACAAGCCTTTCACTGTGCTCTCTCGCGGGTCCTTACAGTGAGGAAACATTTCTGTACTTCATTTCAGATGTACAAATCTGTTAAACACCATGCCACCAAGCATCTTGGGAAGGATTACTTATTCCCATTAACAAATGCCCTAATTGAAGAAACATTGTGTTTCTGTCCAACTTCTTTTTTTTGCCCTCAAAATAGCATTATATCTGAATATTGGCAATGGTTCAGACACTTATCTACATGTGCTCATTAAAGAAAATCAGCTGAGGATGTGGAAATTAAACTGAAATCACAAACAGAACATGATTAGAAATGTTAAAAAAAACTTTTTTTCAAAATAACCATCCAAGTTACTGCAAATACAAAATTTCCCCAAGCTTGTTTATTATCACCAGGCTACTTATTATATATAACTATGTCTCAGATAATGTGGCAAATACCTTTTATAAAACGCTTGCGTACTAAAATACAATGTTGCAAAATAAACACATTTACTCTCAGTCAGTGCATGTGCAAACCATGATCATAAAAGGCAGACTTACATTCTAAATGCGAAAATCCAAAAGAAGATGATGCATTAATATATCTTAAAAGAAATGCTGAAATTCCAGTGGGTTCTTAGAGATCCTCTTCCACACAGCCCCATAGATACCGTAATTACAGAGCGATCGCTATGGTGTTCCTAAGGTTTCCATGTGCCTGACAATCAATGGGACTTCTTCTCAATAAATCTTTTGATAGGCCCAGCGTCTGAACCAGACGGCATTTTTATTCAGGGCTGCTTTGAAACTAAGGCAGTAACACTGCATCTTTGTGCTGAGAGAGGCAGTGAAAGAGACAAGTATTACAATGTAAGGAACCCTAAGGGGGATACATTTCTGCTAGCGTCTCAGCCCCTACCAGAGCCCTTACGTGTTAACATTAAAGAATAGAAATATTTCTGTTCTTCTCAAAGGGAGGTCGCACAAACTCTTTTTTTACACCATCATATTCTTGCCAGGTTTCCAGCATTGTTTCCGGAGTCTGTGTAATCTCTCTCACTGAACCCAAATAGGTGAAGTATGGAGTAGATTAGGGAAGCTCTCTATTTATAAGTAACAGAGAGGGTTTTATCTACTGACACATGAGTGACAGTACGAAACGAAGTCGCAAGACAGGTGGGGTTGAGGTGTCAGCATTGTGGGTTTTGGGGACAAAAAAAAGCTGCAAGTGAAAATCTTTGTTCAGGGTGCGAAGGAAAAAAGCTTACAGCACTGTGATTTTGTATCATTATTTCTATCATAAAAAATAATTTTCAAACAGTTACGGCATCAAACTGTTGTAACTATGATATGCGTTAAAACAGCTTTAAGTTTCACAAGGATCTGCATAGTACACTCAAGCCTGTTACGAAAGGTGTGTTAAATCTGAAGTTTAATTGTCTTTAGGGAGGAGTGACAGTTGGCTTTGTCACAGGGAGACAAGAAGAGATAACTGTGGGCAGGACAAGTTGAACAGTATACTTGACTTAGGTTATGTATTACTATCTCAGTGTTCTGCTTAGCTACACTGTCACTCAGTCATTTAATGTTCCTGCAAACCTTATGGAAGAATGTCTTGATAACTATAAAAACTGTTTTAGTTTCAGACATGCAATCTCTCTTTTCTAAATCGGCACATCGCGATGACTTGTAATATTTGGTTTTTACTTGTCACATCACACTTTTTTCCCTGTAGTACTAGGATTTTAAGACCCTTTTTTAACAGACTATTGTTTTAAAAAGAGCGGCGCTTTACACAGCCCTCGTCTAATTAGGAATCGAATTGTAAAATAATTCTAAAATATTATTACTGGTGATACATTAACGTTTATTTAGAAAATGGAAGATTAATATTACGAGAGTTTTTAAGCATGCATTTGCCAGATTTCTGATGACTATTTTCAGTTGGTTATTAAATGGAGAAAACATTTGATATTTGATTTTTTTTTTTGCCTTAACGGTACTGTGCAAAAGCTGCAGCTGAAAGACAGGTGTTAAATAGACCGAGTTAAACACGATCAACCTTCAGACAGGACGTCAGTTGATAAGACTCTGGCGTCTTGCCTTGCTGCTCACCCCATCACTCTACACATTAGGGGTTATGACAACAATCCACAGGGCATGAAATATTGAAAATAACTCGCTGTCTGGCCCAGAACACAGCTAATGTGCTGTGCTGCACAATATACAGTATACTGTCCAATTTTATATTATAATGTAGGTAAAGAATAGAGCATTTTATATTGCTAAACCACTTGCCTTCTATTCATGTTACAAAGATGGAATTTATATCATCTCGAACATAAACTTTAAAAAACCACAGGGAAAAAAATGTCAGTTTAAGGCACTGGCAGAAAAAGGGTTTATGCTTCACATATGGCTTGGGGAGAAGGAAGATATACCTTTGTATTGAGTGATACGCGCCATTTAGACTTCCTAATACCCCCTAATAATTCTGGCACAATACTGCGTAAATGTACTTAAAAATGAATGGGGGCGATCGTTGTTGTTTTTAAAATGAGGGCATTAAATAGTTTGAAAAACAAAATACTTGCTAAAGAAAAATGACCACTCCCTCTTTGATGAAAAGATGAAATACAGAAATTTAACTCAAAACGTTATTTGAATTGGTAGTGCAATTGATGTCTTTAATCTGTCCCTGCGCGCTCAAAAACGGAATAAATTATCATCTTCACTGGAGGGGAAAAGGGTGCAAAGACTAATATGAAAAAAACGCAGTTGTGGGGGAAATAAAAGGCATTTAAACAGGAGGCAATGATATTTAAATGTTGGGTTAAAATTGCATTATCCGTCACGGGATAACGTACGACTTAGCTAAATTCTCGCAATGGGCAGCTTTCCATTAATATCGAGCGCGGAGAAAAAAAAATAATTTTAATGATTATCACCATTGAATTAAATTACTATGCGCAAAAAAAACACCAATCGTTACGGTGATAGCGTGAAGAAGTATTTTTTTTTTTAATTCTCATATATAACCTCAGATATGTAAGACGGTACAACTTTTCAGGGAAGAGAAAACCATTGTTTTACCATCATAGACACCGGTTGATAACGCGTTATGCAAAAAAAAAAATCATACTTACTATAGTCTTCTTTAGGGGGCCTCTTTAAAGCAAAGTTGCAGACTTTCGAAAATTGTTGCAATAAGAAAATAATAACAATACAGAATGTGCTATTCCCTCCAAACTTACCCCCCGTCCTGACAGTTTTGTTGTACTGTACATATACAGAATTGCCAGTGGCACCAAGCAGACGGCGCCACCTCGTGTGCATCGATTTGTAGCTGAAAGTAACAGGTGCTCGCGTTAGAATTTGTATACATTTCTACAGGCGGCATTTGACGGTGGTGCCCGCAACGGAAGTTCGTCCTTTGCCCCCCGTTGCTGTAAAAAAATAAACTGCCACTTAACCAGTTAAATACGGAATGAGTTTCATCTATTCCAAAGCTCTCTTTCAGAAAACGAACCGCAGTTCGAATTAGGAAGTCAGGGCATTTCTGCACACACCTGCAGAATACACGTTTTATTTTCACATCAGTGTCCGAAGACGGACAAATGATCTGTGATCAAATGTATACCGTCCTGAGAAATCTTGCAAGATTTCAAGGTGTCGCTCTTGCACGAATACTTAGTACGGTGACACTGTGTTTTACATTTTCTCAAATAGGAGAACGGTCTTTCTGCGCACTCGTACCTGCACTTTGATTACTATTGATATTCTTTTGATGGTAAAGCAATAATGATAAAACACAATTAGTCATAAGGGCCAGTTCTGCACAACTATCAGGAACCTCAAGGAAGACCTTAAGGAACATCAGATTGCTGCTGTTAATGGTGCTGGAGGACAAGCAGGTGGCGCTATAGATACACGATTTACATCCATACAGTAATTAATTATTGATCGGGTAATTAATTATTCATATAAAACCAATGAATTATTCATTGCGGCATGCAAACAGTTCAGTACTACGCCCAGCAGAGGGCGCTGTTCTTTATTCTGGCTCTTCGTGCGGTCTCGGAAGGGGGGACTAAAGCGACAACGGAAGCGACGCTCTGGTTGGTTTTTTAGGATCATAAATATTGTTCCGGGGATGAACGGCTATAAAATTTACAGCTGTTACGGATGCGTTGGCAATTAGTAATATTGTATTAGGAGGGGGGTGGGGGGACAACTAATCTTGTTAGAAAATAAGGGCTTCTGTTAGAATGGATTGTCGTTGCGAAGCGAGAAGGAGGGAGGCGGTTGAAAACGTTCAGCCAAGGTTTGGAGACAGTACCAATATCCTAGAATAAAATGTGTTCTATTCTGTAGGCTTTGTCAAATCGTTTGTGAAATAGTTAAATTACAGTGTGGTTTCAGTCTCTACGGAGACTGTCAAGATGTTTGAACCACAGCAGAATGAATCGTAGCTAAACCGAATGCAAATCATATTTTCTGCGACCGCACTTCATTTTGCATTTAACCTTTATTTGCATTTGGATACCTATCTTATAATAAATCTGTTGAGTTTCGCAGAGCCATGTAGGAATGGCAACTGATTTTGAAAAGTTGGCTTTACATTAGAATATTTTGATTTTAAAAAAATAAACTTAATTTTCAATTACATTGGCGTGGATAGGTTTGCAATGTGTGGGCTTTGTAGTTTTTGTTTTTTTACAACAAAATGGATGCATTGACGTAAATCTGATCATTGGTCTTCATGTCTTGACAGGCCCGATAAATGACACCAGACTTTAAACCTTACACATCTGTGGCTGTAACCTCGACCCGCTGGATACTTTCCTGTAAAAAAAAAAAATCTGTACACAGACGTGTTATATACAGCCCAGATTGGAAGGATAAACTAAACCTCCCGGAGAAACTCACACCAACTATGGCTTCTGTGCGACAGCTGGAGAAGGTGTCGCCCTATGTCATCAGGAACGGTTCCTCGGGTCTGTGTGTAAACGGGACTCCGTGGGTCCTGTACCTGTTAAACGAATGCGTGGACAACACGTGGGAGTATTGGAGTGTTGTCATAGGCCTGGTCTCCATGCTCTGTTTTCTTCTGTCAACCTTACCGTAAGTAGCCCTCAACCTCGCCTGTGTTTAATGATCAGTTACAGCTGGTTTTCGCTGTTAAAATAGCGTTAAGGGATCCCAACTCCAAAGCAGCGATACTGTCATTTGCTTTCAAAAAGACCGGACACAGCTGAAATATATGCCTATGCAGTATGGTTTGCTTGCTTCGACTCAAAATAATTGTAAGCATTTGTATCCGTGCCTCTTTTACAACAGTTATGGTCATCATACTCAACCTCTGAGGACAAATGTCGTGAAGGTAACAGCCTTTTCTTCTAAAAAAGCGAAGTCATCAGAATAATCCATCACGTGTAGTTTTGTCCTCTTGTGTTTCTTTGTCTCCAGTCAAGTTTACGAGGCCTACAGACACGGAAGAGTGGAGCAGGCTGTTTCCCTGGGGTTCCTGCTTTTTTTACTGAGTGGAGACCTCAGCAACTTTGTTGGGTGTTATTTAACCAACCAGCTTCCTATTCAGGTAACCGACAGCACTGTGTGAATCTCATGCAAATAGAAAGAAGGTTGCAGCTTTGACAGTACCACCAGTATTGTATATAACCCAATAATTGCGGCCCAACCACAGTGTATGTACTAAGGTGCAGCATTTCCACTGCTAAGCACAAGACGTTGAGGATTAAAACACAATATTTTTCCGATACTGCACAACTGCAGCTACAAACTGCTAGTGGAGTGATAGTCATTGAAGATCGGGGACTGCAGTTTGATTTATACTTGACACGCCTATAATTTTAAGTATATTTGCACAGGGTAATAACCAGCTGAGGTTTCAGCAAACGTTAAATTTGCCTCATGTACAATTAACGACAGTATGATCTGACTTCAATCAAAGACTCGCCCAATCAAGACTTGTCATTAAAGCTTCATACCCTGCTTTGTAAAGAATCAGATCATTTAGCCCTTTTTGTATAACTCCATGTGCTTTTTGTCTACTCACACTTGATTGTGTTTTGCATGTTGCTTTTTCAGATTGTAACTGCAGTCTTTTATATCTTCACTGATGTGATTCTGATCTCCCAATTTCTGTATTACAAACTGAAGAATGCAAAGTCTCAAAGTAAGCACTTTTGTGGTGTTTGAGTGCATTCCGGGTGTATGTATATTTGTAGAAGAACTAGTACAAACATACTGTCTTTACAAAGAGAGAGCAACTGTAAGAAAGTCCCAGGAATGAGATGGCAGCAGATGACTAGATTATATTGAGATTTGGAGATTTTGGTGAGGGGTTGCAGTACAGCATTGCTCTGTTATATTACAGAAAACTTTTGTCACCAGTACACATGCTTTAAGAAATTAAAGAGCACACAATGAAACAGGCAGGCTTAAGTAAAAAAAAAAATGAAATCTCAGTTTCATTGATTATGGCTAAAGAGACACCCCTTTAGGACAGCATTCAATTGATTTTTTTTTTAATTCTTTATTAATCAAATGAGTCTTTTGAGAACAAATTCTGATTTACTGAGAATGTAAATGACATCATTTACAGATGTTGACTTGGGAAGTTCCCCCTTTGAACAACAGTGCATTTACAGGTGCTTTTTTTTCTGAGAAAAGTCCCTTGGTCAAGGGTACAACAGGAACAAGTAAAGGTTTATTCCGTGCTGGAAAGAGAAGAAAAGAAACAACATTTCGGCTGTGGAGCCTTCTTCGGGTGTCGCAGTTTTATATTTCGCCCGAAGAAGGCTCCACAGTCAAAATGTTGTTTCTTTTCTCTTTCCAGCACGGAATAAACCTTTACTTGTTCCTTTGCAGCCTAAGCACGCTGATGCAGCTCCCTACTTGAACTACAAAGGTATAATAGCTGTGTCCTGCCTGGGATTTGAACCCAGGACCCTTCAGTGTGTGCAGTCTGGAGCAACTCCAGTCCAACTCCTAATGCGTTTTTGTTCTTTTTCCCTATATGCCTTTCAAAGTGAAGCAGTCCAAGGCTGATGTTTATTACAAATGATGTAGCTCCTGTGTTTACAACATAGAACTCTTATACATGAGGGTTTGAAGTGGAGCAAATGATCTCTTTTACCTGAATTTTAAAATGGGTATAAATACTTCATGGCATTTATAATGCATGCTTACATAGTTCATTCTTTTGGTCTCTAAAGATGTAGGAACTGTGTAGATCATGAGAATAACTGCTGGGAAAATAGATTAAAAGTATAGAATTCTTCCATAGAGGTCAGTCATTGATGCACAGCTCTCTGAAGCTTCATGCTTTTAAGACTTTGCGTTAACTTTCACAAGTCCTTCAGAAGCTTGGGGACCCTTAGCAAGTTAAACAGAATGAAGCAGAATTAAACACACATGTGCAGCATGTTAAAAATGTCTTAGTGCTGAGAGGCAGTTGTCACAAACCAAGGAAGAGCTCTGCAGTCATTACAAGGCTAACACCTTGCATCCCAAAAAGATCACTGAACCCTCTGGATTGGGAGTTTCTGATTATGACAAGAATACCAGTACATCCCTTCTGAATGCAAGGCACTCTAAATGCCTCCCAATGCTGAAATTGACCAGAGTAATCTTTGATTGATCGCAGAGCACAGGCAGAATTCCCAGCTGGAGGTTTGAAACTGTTTGTTGCTTTTCTTGCTCCTGTAATAGTCTCCAGTGAGATGTGCAATGCCTGATTAATGACTCTGTTACTGAGTTAATGCAAAACACTTATGTTTATAGGAATCAACTTATTATTCAAAATTTCATTCCTCTGCCTCTTTACCCTTTATGCAACTATTTATGTTCTTTGATAACTTCAAATTGTATGTTTAACACGGTTGTGAACTCGCATAAACATCATGAATAACTATAAGTGGATTTAGTAGGGAAGTAACTGCTGTAGTGTTTTTCAGTACTAGCTGTGTGCCTTTCAGGTTTTATTGAATGAGAATGCAGTATTGATTTCAGGTGTGTGATGTGTCAATGAGTAATTTTACTCTCGACTTTGGCTTCTTCAGAAAACCCTTGGCTGAAATGGATTTGTTGTGTCTGGTGTTTGGCATTTACTACAGTTTGCTCGGTGCTTCCCAAACTATTGGAAGAGAAAAAGATAGAGAATTTAAATCCACAGGTGGTAAGTACTGTCACTGAAATACAGTATTATAATGTTAGATCTGTGCTTGATGCCTTTTGGTTAAGAACATTTTGAATGCAAGAGGCTTATGAACTTGGCTGACCTTGTCGATCAAACACATCATAAAAGCTGTCATGAAAGATGACATGATGAAACCTTTAGGGACGCACTGCCA